CCAAATCGCGCAACTTGCGATGCTACGCAGACGATCTACGAAGCGTCGAAAAAGCAGGTGAGGAAGCATGTTGATCCGCGCTCTTCTCTTCACTCACTGACGGTCAACATCGCCACCCTGCAGGCTGTCACCGTACACCGGCAATCCCGTGCCACCCCTTCCGGCGTCTTTCCTTTCTGGACTCTTCGGGACTTTTGTGACTCCTGCGTCTGCTATGAGCAGTGCAGCCGCGTTTGGCGCAGGCGTCAAGAACATAAAGGTGGAGAAAGCCGCGTTGGATGCGGTGGACGACGCGTAAGTCAGGGCGTACACGCGAGATGTAGGCAGAGCAGCAAGGTTGACGACATCATTCCGTCCCCCTGAACAGATCGCACGAGTTCTTCGCTACCTTTTCCCAGAAGCTTGCAGACCAGGCGACAAGATCGGGTCGCAATGGTACGATCACGGAGGGTGACGTGGTGGCAGTGATGAAAGCGTGAGTCATGGTGCCGCTTCTTCCCTTTACCTTGTCAAGCCCCAGCGCTCACAATCCTCCTGCCGGGTACCATCTTCAGCGAGGGCTTCGTGACACCAAGGCAGTCCGTCTCCTCTTTGGCGCGCCGCTTCCTCCCTAAGGAGTTCAGCGACTTGGTCACACCGCTACCCAAGAGCCAAGGACCATCGAAGATTGACAAGGGCAAGAGAAAGGCTGGAGAGGCCAAGAGAAACAAGAGGGATGACTCTGACCCAAGCACAGTCGGTACCAGCGCGCACAGAGGTAATGGCGCCACGAGCAGCAACGTGAAACGGTACAAGAAGTGAACTTTTCAATTTTCAATCCTTGACGCTCATCACGTGCACTTCGTTTGGCATACATTGACGATGACATCGAAATATATAACACATCTGAACGCGTCGTGCGAATGGATTTAGATGGAAGAGTGCTGAGGAAAGTTCCGAGCTCTTGAGAGAGGCGCCCTTGCCGCGCAGAAGCTTTTAGAGGAAGAGTGCTCCGATGGCTACAGCGCCAACAGCGACGATTGGGCCGGTAGCAGAGCTAGAAGAGAATGCGCGTACTTGCACAGCTCCATTTCCAGCACGGCTAGAGGTTGAAGCCGATGTTGTAGTTGAAGAGGAACGGGAAGAGGAAGAGGAAGAGGAAGAGGAAGCCTCATCGGACGCTCTGGCTGCGGACGCTTCCGCCGATGCGGACACTCCAGTGAAGGTCCTGGTGCCGTAGATGATCTCGATGTCCTCAGTCGACGACGAGCCCGAGCCCGAGTCCGTATCCGTAGCGCCGCCCTCTCCCGAGCCGTCTTGGCAAGTTCCGCCTATTAAGATGCCGGTGCAGGTCGCGGAATCATCAGTTCCGACTGAACCGCCGTTGCCAAAGTCGCCAGTGTTGGTGACGCTGACGCCCGTACCGCTGCCCAGGTCCAATGTGACTGGAGAAGCTCGGTCGAATCAGCACTGGCAGCTCGCTGGGTAATGTTCCGCAACCCGAAAGACGTGGCTACTCACATTGACGGCGTACTGGTGCTTGGGGCGCAGGAGTTGGCACGGCCAGAGCGTTGGCGGAGGCCGCCAGGGCCAGGCACGCAACGACGGATGCAGGGGAGTACTTCATGATTGTGAGCAAAAGTAGTGGTGATGCCTGGTATGGGTGTCTGGTTAAGCTAGAGGCTAGAGCGAAGAGAGTCAAAAGATCGATGATGGAGCAGGTGGGGAACAAAACGTCCGCATGCCAGACAAATAGGCATGCTCTTTATACCTTCTCCACCATGCAGTGCCTCGCCATGCAAGGATGATGTCGAATGCTTCTCAGGTCGCTGATGCACTCGCACGTAGCTGCATTATGCTGGTGCAATCTGGACCAGATGCATTTACGCTGCCAAGCTCCTCATCCTCTCATGCCTCGCTCGCTTGCTGAAAAGCGGGATTCAGCTTCGAGCAAGGCGTGCTGTTCTGGCCGGGTTGCGGCGGTGGACAAAGAAGGTGCTAAGAGGCTTGTTTGCGCCGTGCAGGACCTCGCAGCTGATGTGCGCCAGGTCGATACTCACGACTGTGCGCCATGATGTGAGAGGAGGATCAGCGGACCAACTTGCCTTCATGCGCTTCTACTGCGCCTTGCTGCATGCAGTCACCTAGAGCAGGTCCTGCTCAGTTCGGAGGTCACAGTCGTGAGTGTCTGTCTGAGGTCTTGTGAGTGCATGATGCAAGGCTGCGTGGCTCATAGCGAACACACATGGCAGGACGACAAGCGAAGCAGCTATTCACAGATTACAGATGTTCGTGTGCTGACCCAACTTTGCGATGGATCGATACAGAGAGGTCACATTTCACGGAAAGCGATCTTCTGCATGGGGGCTCGAGACGATGAATAGGAAGGACCCTCGTGAATGATGAATCGCAAAGCGTGCACAGCATGCATGCATGCGTATATGCAGGTCGGAGCTTCATCTTCGCGCGGGCGACCGCGAGGTGCGCCCACGCTAGCAGCGGTCATCGGCCATCCGCAGGTTGAGGCAAAGCACAACAACATCAGCTGCTAAGGAGCTTCGTTAACGGGTTCGTGGCGAGCCAGCACTCACCGCGATGCTGCACTCATCCTTTGCTAGCATGCTTGCTATTGTGACTGCGCCGACGTTCGCATCTGTATGATTCAGCTGCATGCAGGCCCACAGAGTCTGACTCAAGATTGTTCCTCACGTTCAACATTCAAAATTGTCACACCGATTCACATGATTCACGTGATTGTCCTGATCCACGCCCTCTAGCTCCGATCGAGGGAGATGCTGCACTCGAACTCGATTGTGACCTGCAGGGATCCTTCCTTTATTCCATAGCGGATCTGAAACGTCTCGCGATCACGGACAACAATGGAGACCGTCTGATTCACGATATTGTCCCCTAGCTGCTGCATGGGAGTCAAAGCGGTCTGGGCTGTGCCGAGGCGTGATGAACTCGGCTCTTGCGTCCAGCTAGATTCGATCGCTTCTCGGACCGGTAGCGTCCTACTCGACTGCGTCGACGACTGCGGCCTTCGCGAAAGCAAGGGGCACACGAGAAGCTTCGCACTGTGACTGCGGCTGGGACTATAGGCAACGCTTCCGACCGATGATGGCACGTCCAACGCCGTAAATTGACGCGAATAAGAAGCAGCGTCTTACATTGCAAGCCGTAAGTCCGTGACATGGACACTCGTAGATACATAAAGTACGAAGGGTTGTGTACTGCGGTGCGAGGACGAGAACGAAGGGTGGGTTGGGTCGTGAAGAGTCATTATAGTCATGCAGGGTTGAGAACAAGAATATGATACAGCAGGAGCGCTTGCATGCAACAGTCGGGATGGTGATAGCTCGATCATCAGCTTTGACAGGCTTGAAGAGGGGCACGCAGGCGAAGGCGAGTCGGTGCGTGTTGTATAACCGTAGACCAATACTTTCAGGTGATTATGTTTCCAAGGTTGGTGAGTAGAGATGCGACGAAACCTTTGGAGCTCTGTCCCAACAGGATTGTTAACTGCGAGAGCAAAAACGAGCCCAGCTCTGCTACTACTCGTGGTTCTAGGAGCGTCAGGAGCCGGCTTTGAGTATCGCAGCCTTTGGGAGCTTCGAGACCATTGAACCGGTCCTCAAGCCAGACGAAACCGGAAGGAGAGCCAGTGATGATCATGCTGATATGCTCAGCCGCAAGCTCTCGTACGTAGGTGATGCTCTTGGTGCTGGGGATCTTGCACTGCGCCGCCACGTAATCGTCTACATCCGACGCCACCACCACTTCATCCAGCATAGCTTGGTAGATGTATGCGGGGATAGTCATGCCAATGGCGTCAAGACCACCCAGAGAGCCTTGATCGAGAGCTTCCTTCACGGGTGGAGCGGCGAGCAGCTCATCCTGTGGCACGTCGAACAATGAAAACCAGTCGGTCGCAGGAAATCTTGAAGGGGGACGAGAGCCAACGACGAGCTGAGCGTCACTATTGGTGATGAGAGGCACATCAGAGCAGCAGCTCGGACTCACTGCGCAAGATTCTGAGGTAAGCATGTACCATTAGCACGGCGCAGCGCGTCTTTGCCCGCAGGCGTCGCGTGCTGGTCCAAGTACTCCTTGAACGTCGGTCTGGCATTGTATTGTCCTGCCATGCCCGTCCCAACAAGGCCAGAGATTGCCCCTTTGTTGAGTTTCAGCAGAATGTTCTTGACATTGACGGGGATGCCTCCGAGGACCATTCCAACAAAATTTCCCGACAGCTCTGGAGCATACTTTTCAAGCTGCTGGGCAGCCCAGCCGCTTGCAAGCGCCCCGCCGCTATATCCCATCAAGGCCATCCTGACAAGGTGGCTTTTGTCCGCGCTCACAACTTCCGGCAGCTTCAAGGCTGTGCGAGCAGCATCCAGGACACCTGTGCCTGACAACGAGCCCACCGTAAAAGCAGATGACGGACCCTCGTAGTCGGGGACCACAAGTGTATAGCCCTTCGTTAACGCGTGATTCATCAGAAGCTGTTCAGCCTGCACCAGCAAGTTGCCGGTTGCGCCGCTTTGCAGCTGGATGGACGGTGCGCAGCCAGAGTACGCGGCGTCCTGAAGATGGGGAAAAATAAGAGATCGTCTTCAAACGTCAGCAGCGCTCAAGCCGGACCGAGGGACAGGAGCCGCGACGTACCTGCGCCGGCTGATAGACGAGCACCTTTGGGACGCCAGTCTCGCTTTCTGCGCGGCCATTTGGTGTGATGACTGTCATCATGTTGGCTGTGATGCCGCCGCTCATGTCGGTAGTCGAGTAGAGCACTTGGGTAGCCGCTTTGATTGACATGGGAAGAATGCCGAACTGTGCCAAGTCCACAGGTCTGGATTACTCTGTAAATCAGTTGCTCATCCAGTCCAACGAAAGATCGCTCAGCACTGCTCTCACCTGCTGCGTAAAGCAACCCCTGGCCCTACTCTTTGAATTTGCAGAACGTCGTCACCGGAATAGAAGGGATCATCAATGGGGGCGATCGGCTGGCGCGGCACCAGAATCTGCTCAGCCTCGTGGAAAGGTGTTATGGGAGCGGCCAAGCCAGCGGGCAATAGGGCGAGGGCATACTAGAGACATGCACAGGTTAGCAAAAATCAGTTGCCCATATCGCCTGCCGTCGCGTGTGATGTCAGTGACTCACCAGCCAGAGCAGGGCTTGCATAGCGCCGTGTGAATGACAAAGGAAGGAAGCGAGCTGTCGTCAAATGGATTTGGAGATTCGTTGTGGACCTAGGTTACCGGAGAGGGTAATTTGGGGTTTGGAAGCAACGGCGAAAGAAGGAATACTGTCTGAAGATGGAAGGAAGAGACGTGTGCATTATACTTCAAGGTGATCATCTCGACGATGAGTCGGGAAATTCTGCGCCTTCTTATATCTGTGTCTTCGAGCAGGTAGCAGGTGACGATGGCTCTTCAGCTGGGCCCTGGTTGCAGATGTTCTTCATGTTGGGTGAGAGTAGCAGCAGGGCAAGCGAGCACTCTAGCGGGAGCAGGCTCGACGGGGCGTTGGCTCTGGTCGCTAACACAGTCACAATCACAGTGTAGCTGGGGCTGCATCGCTGGCCGATGGCCGATTACCAGTGTAACCACCATACGAATGCACGTCTACGGCCATACACCATCCACCACTCTTGTCACCTCCTCGCAGATGCTAGAGCCAGGGGCAGAAGGACAGAA